GTTTCAGCTCGGCAGCGGGTTCCAGCTCTCCTGCTTGACGACACGCTCCACATAGTCTATCACAACGTCTTGGTTGATGACTCAATGGACCTGCTCCTCAAGTCTTCTCAGCTGCACGTCGCGCTCAGCAAACTTCTATTGGAGCTGCGAGTCTCGTTCAGCAAACTTCTGTTGGAGTTGCGTGTCTCGTTCAGCTATCTTCTGTTCGACGACTGCAGCTTCGTTTGTAGTTCCCTTGAAGCCTATTTGCCATATCAGATGAAACGATGCTGACTTTATCTATGAGGGCACGGGTGATGTGATCCATCTTCTCTACATCGGCCAGGTTTTCCTCCTTCAGGATCTGCGACAGGACCTGGTTCTCCTCCCTCAGGGCTCTGGTGCTGTGGGCCACCATCAGTGAAAGAGCCTGGTTCTCCTCCTTGAGTATCTGCGACAGGCCTTCGTTCTCCTCCCTCTCCATCTGCGACAGATCCTGGATCTCATCCCTCAGAGTAGACAGGAGTAGCTCGAGGTCGAGCATGAAACCTCTATTTCAAAGGTTTTTTGGATTCACCGCTCTCTATATACTCTTAAAGCCGGCCAACCGTTGTCTCGAGCTCAGGCTCCTTTAGCTCCCATCCACCACTCTCAGATCGCACAGATTTTCCACAGGCATTGTCTGTCAAACGCACGCACATGTCGAAGCGAACGCGAAATGATCATAAAGATAAACGTTCGAGGTCACTCAAAACAGTCACAGTCACTCCCGAACAGTTCGGTCCCTGAAAAAACTACAGTCTCTACCGATAGATGCAAGGTTCAGTCTCTAAAATAGTTCAACTCACTACTCGACTATAACCTCTTTGCCATCTCTTCGCTTATTTATCTTCAATCGATGGCGGTAGATGCACCTCGTTGGGCGTCGAATGCTCTCGATGCTCCGCGAACGCTCCCGATATTCTGGTTGCATAATTGGTTGACTAAGCGTCGATGTTAGGAAGGTGTCTCGTTGTTCCAGTTACAAGGGCGATACAATTCCTTCTGCCTTAGAAATACTATCATATAGGTTATAAGGTACTCATAAGGAGCCTCAAAATGATGTATCACTTACCCCTCATTCAATTTAAAACAGTGTTCCAAGATGGCGCCGCGCAGACAGGAGCCTAAATACCAGGGCATCGTGGCTGCTATGAGGATTCTGAACAAACTTTGTTAATTCAATTTTTGAAATGCCTAAGGTTAGTAGAACTGGGAAAATCCTCTTCTGGTAGACTGTTCCACAATCTTAACACCCTAGGGGAAAAAGGAGCGGTCGTATCGGTCTGTTCTGGATGTACGAAGTTCGACACAGTTAAGATGAAAGGTGGAAGTCAGGCGGGTCTAGATGGCAGGCATATCGAGGCATCATGTAGGAGAGCTCTCAGAAGCAGAGCCCAATGGTGTGACGGTAGAAGAGAGCTAGGTCGCCGACGGCCCGCCGGTGCGAAAGGGTCTTTAGAGTCTCTGTGAGAAGAGTTATCCCTCCTCTGAGCATGGATAATGTAGACGAGGCAGCAGCGCCCCAAACATGTGAGCAGTACTCGAGTCTACGTCTTATCTAGGACTTGTGCAGAGTCAGCAGCTCACGTAGAGAAAATCACTTCATGGCCCAAAACATATTTGTTTGGAGCTAATGCAGAACTCGGCCAACCATCGAAACCGAATCAGCGCTAGAATGCCTTTTATTCGTCAAGGTACATAGAAAATTTAAGAGATGACCCCATAAAATCATTATATCAAAAAAGGCTAGAACAGAAGATAAAAATACAAAATTTAAGATGCAAGCAATGTAGAAACTAGCTGGAGGAAACTTAAGAAAAATATTCTGGACGCTGCCCGAGAAGCCCTTGGAACGAAAATAATAAACAAAAACAAAAAGTGGTCAACGAAAACACCTTAGTTTACACTAGAGGTTAAATAAAAATATCACCAAAAAAAAGAAAGCTTTCCTAAAATATAAGTCAGATAAAACCACTGAAACATATGAAGAAGAAGAATAAGAACTGAAACTCATCAATTGGTAAGAAAAACAAAAACATATTACTGGGAAAGATTCACAAAAGGACTAGAGATGGATTTCTATGGAAAATAGAAGCAAGTATGGCGCTTCATAAGACAACAAAGAAACGAAATGTAAGAACTAGTTGAAATAGAACACACAAAAGAGGATACATGGGTGGCCTTCCTGACAGAAATGTTTAAAGAAGAAAACGAAGAATCTTTACCAGAAACGCTAAATATACTAACTGATGAAAAGACCGAAATCTTCCAAGAAGAAACAAGGAATAAATAAGTTAAAAAATAGAAAGTCACCAGGAGGAGATCAAATACCAAACGAACTCTTAAAATATGGAGGTGATTACCTTGTACAACAACTGCAACTCCTTATTCAAAAAATAATCACCACGAATACTAGATTTTTTATTTTATTTATTTATTTATTTCCAACAGGTGAAACCCAATTACAGGAAACGCTGAAAAAAATAACAATTAAAGAGACATGGTTCTTGGACTTAAATCTATAGTATCACACATTCTAAATAAGATTGGATGATCTATAGCAGTTAATAATCGATGCACAACTGTCATTGTAAATATCACACGATTCAGTAACACTGTTCATGACGCAGCACATGAGATTAATTGGCGATTTTGTCATAACATTTGTTCGGCCAGCTTGACAATAAAATTCCGTTTGTTGTCGACTCCCTAGCCTTGGAACGCGGAAACATATTTTTTCAAGTAAATTTTTACAGTCAATTTTATTGTGAATGAGGCCATACAAAAACGACAAAGCAAATATGTTTCGTCTTGTTGACAGTGAATCCAAATTGGAAAACTCTAATAGGGCACTATGTATGAACATTGGAGAAACCCTTCCAGTTTCTGATACAGAAACCAAGTAGTCGAGTGGCAGCCTACGAGATATTGAGTATATGCCCAGTAAACGTTAGCTTGGTATCAAAAATGACTCCAAGGTCTCTATAAGAGGTGCATCTGTCTATAACCTCACCATTGATGTTATAATTATCATAAATTAAATAGTTAACTTTTCTTGTATAAGTCATAACTTTACATTTCGAAACATTGAGACTGAGACAGTTTCGTGAACACCATGACGAAATTAGAGCTAAGTCATCTTGCAGCATGACGCAATCCTCGACTGTCTTGACTGACGTGCAGGTCATCAGCGAAAAACAAATGGAAACACTTCAGTTCAAAAGACAAGTCATTAATAAATATTAAAAACAATAATGGACCTAGATTTGACCCTTGAGGTACCCCAGACGTGGCCCGATAGTACCTCGACCTATGACCACCATATTCGACAAATAACCTTCTATCCCTCAAATATGAATTCATGAGCGACAGCATTGCATCAGACATACCCACTGTTTTAAGCTTATCCAGAAGTGCATAATGATCAACTTCTGAATATCTGTGTAGATGACATCAACTTGTCCTTGACCGCCCAGTACTTCAGAAATGTACTGAGTAATCAGAGCCAAGTTGGTGACCGTAGATCTGCCTCTCATAAACCCATGCTGATTAATAGAGACTGCACCCCTTACCGAGCAGTAAACCGTTTCATAAGCGATGATCTCAAACAACTTGCTGAAATTGCACAGGATTACTATTTGGCGATAGTTGGAAATATCAGAGATATCTCCACTTTTGTGAATAGGACATATTTTAGAGGTCTTCCAGATATTTGGATATATCTCTGATTTTAGAATAAGGTTGAATATGGAAGCCAGCAGTTTCGTTAGTATATGAATGGAATCTTTAACGAAAAAACTTGGAATACCATCACATCCAGACGTCATTTTGTTCTTTAATCTTTTCGACGCCCTAATTACGTTTTCTTCACTTATATTTTTTAAAGAAATGATATCGGTAGAATTATTTGTTGGAGGAGATGACCCTAGTAGACCAGACGGGATAAAAACTGTTGAAAAGAAGATAGCAAAACTGTCCACTATATCCTGAGGCGTATCGCAGACATTGCCGTTAAGCGTCATCCTTGGGGAGATTCTAGATTGCTGTTTTTTGATCTGGGCAAATGACCAGAATTTGCTAGGATCATTGACAATGGCATCCTCAACCGATTGGACGTAAGCGGAGTAGGCAACACTGATCTGGTTCTTAATGAGCTTCCTAAAATTACTGAACTGATCATAAGAAAAGATGATTGGAGGAGAGCGATCATGCTGATGTTCTTCAAGAAAGGAGATAAGAGAGACCCCAATAATTATCGAGCAATAAATCTGTTAAATACAACACTCAAATTGACAACAAGAATAATAGCGACAAAAATAAACGACGGAATAACTCTGCCAGAGGAACAGCAAGGAATCCGGACAGGAAGATCATGCATGGATACAGTTTTTGTAATAAGACAAATAAAAGAAAATTCGCTGGAATACAACAAACCAGCATATATGTGCCTGATAGATTTGAAGAAAGCGTTTGGTAGAGTGAGAATTCTTGACGCGACACATTTATTATATGACAGGGGAATACCACTGGATTTAGTAAAAACTATTGAGAATATATACAGGGTGGCGCATCGAAAACGAAACAGACGCATTTACTGGCAGCTCAGTTTTTTTTTTGAAAAACGTTCAGACCCGTCGATTTTGTTTTCGAGGGAGACACAAGTTTGGCAAAAAATCACGTTAGCACGTGCGGCCCCCTAAGCGGGGGTGACACCACCCCCAAAATCTTAAATAGAAAGGGGGGTCAAGTGATACCTTATTTCAATTCCCTTTCGGACCAGTATTAATGTACAACCTTCGTCACTCCAAATTTCGGCTTACTAAGTTGACCCGTTCAAAAAGCTGTAGGGGTACCTTGTTGAAAAACACTGTATATTGTTTGAGGTTTCCGGAATGGGCAAATACATCATGAGGTTTTTTAGAGAAATAACGGTTTTCTGCACTGTAAATTCTTTGAAATATTTCTTTTTGACATTGTAGAAGACATGCGTACAACTCCCGAGAACATGCTCTTCGAATCCTACATCCCAGATGGAATGAATTTTTGGGTGGAGTTCATGCTAGAGCATATCCCTGCCTACGGATTGATGTTGCTCGAAATAGCTTTAGACTTTTTGATCTGTACGATTATTTCATTGACCACGCTACAGTTTAAACTGCTTGGATACGAATTGGAGACAATATTCTGTAACCCAGAAGATACAAGTCATCAGACATCCGAAAAAATACGAAGGTGTAATCTACATCATACGTTTCTTTTAAGGTAACTTTAGCATGTATAATATACAGGGTGTTTACAATATACCTAGATAAAATTTGCATAATAACAGAGCTAGTTTATATTATTAAACATTATTTAAAAAAATCATTATTAAGTTAAATGGATACCGTTTTCACAAAAACTCTTCAAAATTATCCCCATTTGTCCAATTAAGACAAAATCTTTCTCGGCGAATCCACGATTCTTTACAAAATTCGAAATTAAAGTCCTGGTGTCCACGACTTAAATCACAAGCATTTTCAGTGCGCTGTTGGAGTTCCTTCAAAGTATTTACTGCTCCATCATGATACACCAACTCTTTCAAATAGCCCCACAGAAAAAAATCGCAAGACGTTAAATCCGGGGAGCGAGCAGGCCAAGAAATGTGACCATTGCGCCCTAACCAACTATTCGGAAACTCATTGTTTAGATGTTCATGAACTGCTCGTCTACAATGTGGTGGAGCCCTATCATGTAGGAACCAGTGTTGCCATACGTAGCGGAAGTCCGCTATTTGTAGCGGACTATTTTGAGAAGAGCGGCGTAGCGGCGGTAGAGCAAATTAGCCCAAAATGTAGCGGAATTTATTACATACAAAACTATCATATTCATTTCACTGTTTTAACGTTAATAACGTTCTAAATCCTAAATAGGCAGTGGCTAGAGTCTGATTTATTATCACATTAATAATAAAATTGGTGCATTTGGTGCCGCTTGAGCCATCTAGGAACAGAGAAGAGAATTATTCCTCTTTCCTTTTTTTTCAATAACAGATGGCGTACGTACTGCTTTCAATACTAATCGTTTATGAACAGGTCTCATCAGGCAGACATAATATTAGGTTTCTCGCTTTGTATTGTATTTTTCAGCTCTGGGTATATACTGTTTAGTTTCGTTTATATTAGTGTTCTTATTTTTGTGTTGATCATTTTATTGATATATCATTTGCTGCAGATTTTAATATTAAATCTACTGGTAAGTAACAAAACTGCATAAATATCTAACATATTATAGTTTGATCCAGAAATAAATCTTAGTCGCGAAATTTGTTTTTAACGCTTTTTCTTCTGGAAAATAGGAATAATGGAAAGGCGTCAGCAGACCATTAACGATTTTTTTGATAAAAATCCTTCTAAAAAACAAACGGTGAAACCAAACGTGGCCGTACCATCCACTTCGACTGCATCTGTGTCGGAGCATCCCGAGCCTGAATACAGACAAAATAGAAGAGCGGAATCTAGTGGAATCAGGTCTGAGCCTGATAATTCGACTTGTGAATCTCAGGATAACCAAGAGCCAGAGCAACCTGTTAAGAAAAAGACACGAAAACAAATGTTTACTTCATCATGGCTAGAAGATCCGTTATTTAAAGGCTGGTTGGGACCTATTGAAAATGACAAGTTGAAAGCAAAATGTAAAGCTTGTAATCAAATAATAGGTGCTAAAAAATCAGATTTAGTGAATCATTCGAAATCAAAAAGGCATGCCAATAATGTACAAGCAATTTCGAATGTAAGAACGTTAGATAGCACTTTTTAGTCTCGGGAAGCACGTGAGTTGGAAAAACGTCAAATATTGGCTTGCTTAAGATATAGTCTTTTAGTTATAAGTCATTATATAGGTTTTAGAACTGTTGATCATATAACAGGAGTTAGTCAATTATGTTTTAAAGACCCAGATCTCTCTAGCTCACTTAAATTAAAAAGATCCAAATGCATAAGTATAATTAAAAATGTGCTGGCTCCTGTTATTAAAGACGAAATAATTTCAGAATTGGAAAATAAACCATTTTCTATTTTATTGGATAAGAGTACAGACCTGAGCAATACAAGACTAATATGCATTCTTGTAAAATTCAATTAAAACCCATTTATTAGATATAATTAAAATAAAAGCAGATGAAGGTACCGCCAAAGGTTTATATTCTCTTTTTAAAAAATGCGTTATATCCAATCAAGTAAAAATTACCAATATTGTTGGATACTGTTCCGACAACGCTAGTGTTATGATGGGCAATAACGAATCTTTCAAAACTTATCTTTTAATCCTAATATAATTGTCAATGGCTGCATTTGCCACTCTGCTCATTTAGTGGCGGTGGCGGCAGCTGAAAAGATTCCAAGCAACGTTGAAGCTCTTTTACAAAACTTATATTCTTACTTCTCAAGAAGCCCAAAAAGGCAGTGTGTTCTTGAAGAATTACAGGAATATTTCAAAAAGTCAAAATTAAAAATTTTAAGCCCTAGTAAAACAAGGTGGCTTGCTTTATCCAAATGTGTTGATAGAGTTTTGGATCAGTGGGACATCTTGCTTAGCCTATTTAGATTAGCTTCCATTGAAGACAAAAATCCTGTAGCAAATGTAATACTTAATGAGTTACAGAATCCATTTGTTAAGGCGTATTTAATGTTTTTTAAATTCGTGTTGCCCATTTTTAACCAATTTAATGCTCTCTTTCAATCAGAGAAAGTTATACTCAATATCATATCAATAGAGAGTGAGCGATTTGTACGTCATCTATGTACAAACTTTATGCGACCAGAATATTTTGAAAATGAGAAATTATATGATCTAAATCCTAATGATCCCCACTGCTTATTACCAATTGAACAAGTGAATGTTGGTCCGCATACAATGGATGCAATAAAACACTGCAATAACACGGCAATCGAACAATTTAAATTAAAATGTGTCACATTTTACCAAAAATCGGTAGAAGAGTCCCTTAAAAGATTTCCTATCAAAGACAACTTCTTTTCAGAGCTAAAGTTTCTCTCACCGGTTGATGTGATGAACAATCGTCTTATTATAAGTGATACCTTTCATGACGCCATTTTAAAAAAATTGCCCTTCATATTGAAACCGAAAAGGCAATTTTGAAACTAAAGAAAATATGTATTTATTTTAGTGATAGTGAGAAAGAGGAAAAAAACAAAAAGTAATGTCATTGAATTTTGGTCGTTTGTAAACGACCTCAAAAATTTTAATGACGAATATTTATTTCGCAATATAGGTAAACTGGCTCTAATCATTTTAACATTGCCTCATGGAAACGCTGATGTTGAGCGAACTTTTTCTTATATGCTTGATTACAAAACAAAAAAAAGAAATAAAATAATACCATCAACTTTGTCTGCACTACTTACAGGTAAATTAGACTTAGAATCAAAAAAACAGTGCTGTTTATCCTATAGTTTTAATGAGAATCATTTAAACAAATATAAAAAGAATTTATATAATGTAAATAAGGAAGAACAAGCTGAAGAAGAAGTAATTTCTGATTCTGACTGTGAATAAAATAAGCAAACGTAGGCATTTCCACGTTTTCGCTTCTTCTTTGTCCTTATTTTTTTTTTTCTATTAAGATTAAGATATTGGTGATAGTTTCTATTTTTTTATTAGTTCCTAATTCTAAACCAAAGACAGTTTTGTTTTTTTAAAGGTATACTTTTTGTTTTTACGAAAAATTGCAATTATGTTATGTTACTGTTTGTATTTTTAGTAGGGTTTTTAGACAGTGTTTAAAAAAAAGTAAAAATGTAAAAAATATATTTGTTGTTTATTTTAAGCCTCCCCCCCCTTAAATTTTTAGACCGTAGCGGCATGTAGCGGAATTTTGCGATACGTGTGACGGATATTTTAAACTTCGCTCTGGCAACACTGGTACGAACCACATATTGTGCCTCACATTTAGGGGACATCTAATAATTGTGACAGATTGTGTCGCAGAAAATCTAAATAAATTTCACCGGTCAGGTGGAAAAAAGTAGTGTCAAATAAGCATATAATTTACCACGCTAGCCAAAACACTTAATCAAAATCTATGTTCTTTTTACAACATTCGGATTTTCTACTGCCCAAACATGATTGTTGTGGAAATTGTGCCTCGTCTGTACACAAAATGAATTTCGTGAAATCTTTAATACCGATTTGTTCTAAAAGCCACCGTTGAAATGCAACTCTTCTAGGATGATCTTTAGGTTGTAACATTTGTACCTGTTGATAATGGTAGGATCATACTGTTTTTTTCATATTGTCTTCCACAGTTTACTTTGAGAAACTTTAACTAGAGCTGCTATGGCTCTAGTACTCATTGTTGGGTAGTCTTCGACCATTTCTAAAATGTCATGAAGTCTAATAACTAAATTTACAAATAATATCCGTGGGGCCGGAAGATTTGTTAAAGGAACCCTTTCCGCATACAACCTGCAAGCTGCGGCTGCATTTTGTTGGCGCTCTCCGTATGTTAGTATTATATCCACTAGTTCATTGTTTTCGTAAACATAGACCATTGTTTGCTCAAAATTATCAAACAAATGAAAGTATACGCACTTTAAAATACTGATACAACTGATCGAACCAAAGACTCGTACTGAAATTCATTCAATAACATAAAAAGATTGCCAGGTTCAGATGAACGATAAGAGTAGTAAACAAAAAAAGATTTCACACGCCAGTGGTCGAGAATATCAAAAAATATGAGTAATGTTCATATTTTTCAAAATTCTTAATAGTTCTTTCTATTATTATGCAACTTTTATATGTACAAGGTGTTCCTTAATGATATTCGTATATTTAAGGGTGTGAATCTATAGGAAAAATTAATGTTAGTTTGCTCTATAAACTATGGTCCAAAAATGCTTCCTTACAAAAACTCGGGGTGTTGAAGTTTTAGTAAAAAAATGGAAATTAATTAATATTTTCAGAACTGCTTCAGATATTTCACTGATATTTAGTACGTAGTGAAAGTTAATAAAGCTGCATATTTTTCAATGCAAAAATAATTATTAGCTTTATCAGTGGCGTGCGTACGGGTATTGACTTTGATATTTTTTTAAAAAAAATGGTACGCCAATGGTTTTTTGCCAAATAAAAATTATTTTTGAATTCCCCGTTCAATTTAAAACAAATGATCTCTCTTGAATTGTCTTCCTTGGATGCGCCATTTTTGAGTAAAAAAATAAAAACCGTTCTTTTGTCTAACTTGCAAAATTATTATTAATTTAATTGGAAAAATTAAACACATTAGGGGTAATGAACAACAACAACTGACAACATAAACATAACATTAAAATCAACGAAATGATTACAAAAATTGCTTCCGCCCTCCTTCTCATGGAATTGCGCACTCGTTGAAATATCCCTGGAGTGTTTTTTATTCTATCACAAGCTGCAACTATTCTTTCTCTTAATTCCTCTACAGTGTTAATGGGACTTGTGTACATTAGTGTCTTAAGATAGCCCCACAAAAAGAAATCTAAACTGTTGAGGTCTGGGGACCTTGGTGGCCATTCTTGGGGCCCACCGCGGCCAATCCAACAATTTGGATAAACAGTTTATAAATAATTACGAACCGCTACACTGAAATACGCTGGTGCACCGTCATGCATGTACCACATGTTGTTTCTCATTATTAACGGAACATCATTAAGCAGCAAATGCAACTGTTGTTGAAGAAAATTGAGGTAAATCTGTCCGTCAAGTCGTCCCGGCAAGAAGAATGAGCCAATAATTCCTGCTCATCCCTTAACCGAAAATTGGTGTTGGAAATGGGTTTCGGTTACGGCATAGGGATTTTCTTCTGCCCACAAATGATTATTGTGGAAATTCGGAATGGCATTTCGAGAAAAATTAGCTTCGTCCGTGAACAGAATCATTGATTCAAATTGCGGATTTTGTGTAATTTTTTGAATATTACTACTGACAAAAGGTCACACGCCTTGGAAAATCAATGGGAAGTAATGCCTGTACTCTTAAAATATGGTAAGTATATAACAAAAAATCCACTAAAATTCTCCAAACAATTTGATGGCAAATATTTAAGTGTCTAGCGATCTTCCTCGTACTCGTTTCAGGATGTTCTTCGACTTCGTGCAGCACTACTTCCTCAATTTCAGGTGTTCTCAGACTTAGAGGTCTACCTTCAGATGTTCATTTTCAGACAGAACCAGTTTCAATAAGACGACGATGAATATTAGAAAAGGTTCGACTATCTGGCAAAGCACGATCGGGATATCTCTGGTGATAAATCCGTCTGGCTTGCTCACTATTACCGTCGGCAAGACCATATACGTAATGCATTTCCCCCATTTCTGCATCTGAATAATTCATCATTATTAACAAGATTGTAAAAACTAAATAATGAAAAAGATGTCACAGCGAACAGATTTGAATAACAGAGACTTGTCAGATGTCAAAGGCTAGTGACATATTCCAGAGCAACTAGATATTTATTGCTAAATTGCATTCTTCAATTATTACATTAATTTTCTCAGACAATAGAACGGTTTTTATTTTTTTACTCAAAAATGGCGCATTGAAGGAAAGCAATCAGTTCAAGAGAGATCATTTGTTTTTAATTGAACGGAGAATTCAAAAATAATTTCTATTTGGCAAAAAACCATTGGCGTACCATTTTTTTCGAAGTCAATACCCGTACACACGCCACTGTTAAAGCTAAAAGTTATTATTACATTGAAAAATATGCAACTTTATTAACTTTCACTACGTACTAAATATCAGTGAAATATCTGAAGTGGTTCAGAAAATATAAATTAATTTCCATTTTTTTCCTAAAACCTTCTTGTAAGGAAACATTTTTGGACCATAGTTTATAAAGCAAACTAACATTAATTTTTCATGTATATTCACACCCTTAAAGATTCGCATATCATTAAGGAACACCGTCATATAAATATTTTTTCCTAGAACCTTGTCCGTTTTTCGTTAATAATATGAAGAACTATGCTACATATTCGTAAACCAAAGTCAAACCCAAAAATATTAATGTAACATAACTTAGTTTGTGGTTCTCATGTCGATAGTCTCCCATGTTTGTCTGAAAATGAAACCACATGTATTTAAAATTCTTCTACAATGTAGTAAACGTTCCAATCACAGAGATTATATTCTTGGGTACAATGCCATATATTTGATTTACCTGTCTCCCAGGTGATAGTTCCTTTGTTTTTTCATTTCAATATCACATTTCTATAAAAAGTGCCACTATCGGGTTTTCCGATAGGAAGTTGACAACTTTGAAGTTTCACTGTGAACCCACCTTTAAATCAGTTACCGAACTGTCAACGTCAAAAGATTCAGCAAAGAAAACATGTTCATCATATCCATTCGTCATTGTCTATCAGGGCGGTTCGTAGAAATGAAACCACATGTATTTAAAATTCTTCTGTAATGTAGTAAACGTTCCAATCACAGAGATGATATTCTTCAGTACAATGCCATATATTTGATTTACCTGTCTCCCAGGTGATAGTTCCATTGTTTTTTCATTTCAATATCACATTTCTATAAAGTGTGCTACTATCGGGTTTTCCGATAGGAAGTTGACAAGTTTGAACTTTCACTCTGAACGCAACTTTAAATCAGTTACCGAACTGTCAACGTCAAAAGATTCAGTAAAGAAAACACGTTCATCATATCCATTCGTCATTGTCTGTCAGGGCGGTTCGTAGGACATTTGCTCTAGGTTAAACTCTCGTAAGTCAGTAGGTCTGCCCAGATACCAAACAAAGTCAGGGAAAAAAAAGGGAAGAAGAAAGGACGGAAGGAGGGAGAGCAAAGAAAAAATAAGTGCGTCAATTTGAGGGGTGCCTTGGCTTTGCTAATTAGTATTCGGCAATTTTAAATTGATCCTAAAATTAATTCTGAGATTGGTTGTTGACGAAAAATTATAATTTTGGTTGGACCTACAGTCGCACGATTTAATTTTGTTCACAGCGCGAGTCGCGGCCTTGTGTGCTTGCGAACTTGCTCGACTGTGTAGTCTACTGACTCGCACAACAAAGGGTTGTTATGCGATTCCGCTTGACTATAACGAAGCTGCGCTGGTTGTTTCATGTAGACCCTTAGGTAAGAGATGACAGGGTCTATATGAAGGGTCTCGTTGGAAACATACCTTGGGGCGTTAGTGATTGTACGCAAGGTTCTACGTAGCATAGGGTAGAGTTGCCGAAACGAGATTTGGAATTTAGTTTTTAACGCTCCAGTGTGCTTGTGCCAGGTCATGCCCTTGTCAAGAGTGAAACCGAGATACTTAGCAGAGCTTTCCCATGGTACCCGAGCTCAATTCACTGAAAGCTCCGACGGGGCGCCGCTACGTTTTTTAGTACAATAGATTGCCTGCGTTTTCGAATGATTAATTTTGATCAGACACCGATTCGCCCATTCCAATACCTCCTCCACTGCACTTTGAAGCCTGTCGTGAACTAGATCCCCAGAACACGACTGGGCCACCAGGGCAGTGTTATCAGCATAGAGATAGATTTCACAGTTGCTGGGGCAAAGGACGTCATGAATAAAGAGCGAATAAAGGACTGGTCCAAGAACCGAACCCTGAGGGACACCGGCTTTGATGGGCCGTGTTGTGGACAGAACGTTCTTAATTTTGATCCGAAATTTCCTACCCTCGAGGAAGGATTTCAAAACTTTTAGGAGCCAAAAGAGGAAGCCCTTATGAGTCCATTTGTAGAGAAAACCCTTGTACCACACCTTGTCGAATGCTTTTGAGACATCCAAAAGCAAGATGCCAGTACTTTCGTTACGGATAAACCCGCTGGTTACTCGTTCAACAAGCCTAATGGCCTGTAGCTCCGTACTATGCTCAGACCGAAAGCCAAATTGCACGTCAGGAATCACATTGCGGTCTGACGAGAAATTTTCAAGGTGACGTAGAATCACCTTTTCAGCGAGCTTAGAAGGAGCTGACAGTAGACTAATGGGGCGGTAATCATGGGGAAGTATCGAACCCACCTTCTTTGGAATCATTATGACATCAGCGGTCTTCCAGGCCGCTGGGAAGTGCTGGGTCCTTAGCATGGCATTGATTATTGTTACGAGATAAGTTAAGGACTTCCGCGAAAGTAGCTTCAGCGCCTTATTAGTGATTCGATGCTCTCCAGGTGCTTTACGCACCTTGATGTCTTTAATATGACCTTGAATTTCTGCTGGTGCGCAATGCGGAGTCTCAGGAGATTCCACTGATGTACCGTGCAGCTCTTCAATTGAGGAATCTTCTGAAGATTCCTTTGAGGAAAAATCACTAAGGGAGGCACTACTGCCAGTGACGCCGTTGGCCCTAAAATATCTCCTGACGGATCTTACAATATGTTGCTCCTCGTCGAGGTCATTGTCAAGGTCATATTGGGAAGAGAACTGACTTTCCATTGCATCAGCGAAAACCTCGACCTTTTTCTGGGTGACAAGACCTCTTCGCATGCTTAATTGCAGCTCTTTTGTCAGAAATTTTCTGACGAATGTCTGCAGGGAGAACCCTTTACAATAGTATGAAAGTCCTGTAACATGCTCAATTTGCGCGTAGTCATCACTCCGAATTTTAAGATGGCACCACGCAAGACCAGCATAGAATAAGTCCGCCTGGGATAGACATTCCCGGTTCTAAAAAAAAGGACATCCAGCCCTCTAGAAAGACAAGCGACTATGCCATTTTTTAATGTACCAAATACGTCACAATCGTCCATTGTCCCGAAAATACCAAAAGCCCTAAAAAAAACGCGAAAAACACATCCAGTGATATCGCAACACACCTGTTAATTGTTATGCAATCTTCGACTTCAACAGCTTTGTTTTATATCTGCGAGAATTACTACTTCAACATCTAAAGGGAACCATGTTGTTTGTCCTGTGAGGAAATAATATGACACAGCAGTTTGGCCTTGAGACGGCAATGCAGAACATCTACCACCAACAACAAACCACGAGAAAAGACCTGGATAAAAAACTAATGATCCATTAGTTAGATTGGATGGAAACAATTATAAATACATGTGGTTCCATTGGCCAGGCAAATATGGGGAATTGCCCAAAAATATTATTGCGTATATCATATAGTTAGGTAAACTACCGAGTGATGGTACCTTTGTTCCCAATAGCTCTTCGTTTCTGTCCTGAATCGTATTTTGGTTGTCAAGTTTCAGATCAAAGGTGAACGATGCTTTCTCATTGCTTATGTTGGCATACATTGGCGTGGTTGTTATGATTCTATGCATGGAAATATATCTGATGTTTCAAATGTAAGTGCATAATACAAGCTACAACTTTATCTAAAACCTGAATATATTGTCGTTATTTGGTGTCAAGGGGGCGTTCAAGTATTACGTGAGCACTATGGGGGGACGGGGGTCTTTGCTTTGCTTATTTTGGATGACATGAGGAATTCAGTGGGACGTCCTAATCTTGAAGGCAATCAACATTCACTATTGAAAACAAGTGAAAGAGTGCAGCATATGATAGAAGACGAACGGAATCAGTCGCAGCGTAAAAACTCTTGATGAACTCACACAAGAATTACGTAAAATATGATTTAACATTAGTCGCAGTGGGACATATCTTCGTTTGATTTCTATAAAATCTAATTCTGCAGAGGGACGAAGACATGTATCGACAGTCCGTGTTATGCTCATTCGAGCTCAAACTGATCACCACAAGAGCCACTTAGATAGCAAGTTCGCTGAAACATCAATCCATTATTTAGAGAACCTAGCATCCATACTTGGACCAGATAAAGTATTTTTCATATTTCAAGATGATAAAGCTCGAGTCCCTATTGGCGTAACTGCGGCAAATAAGCAAGCCCCTCTTCTAATGCACATGGAATATAGAATCAAATTGCCTGATCACTATTGGGTAATCGCTGAGCGTCATAAATTAATACCATCTGTTTATGCTGGTATCAAAATCACTTCCAATATACTAGGACAACCGCAAGCCATTGGATATTCTGGACCAACATACATCGTTATTCAAAGCGGAAAGCATAGTTCATCTACTGCTAATACTCATGCTCAGGATTTCGAGACGCTTCTCGAACTTGAAGAGTTTCGACCATTAGCTAAAACTGACCATGGACTAGTAAAACCAGTGGTAATCATGACGGTTGATGGAGGACCAGATGAAAATCCACGCTATCAAAAAGTCATAGGGTTTGCTATACAACACTTTAAGCGACATGATCTCGATGCATTGTTTTTAGCTACCAATGCTCCTGGAAGAAGTGCGTATAACAGAGTAGAGCGCAGAATGGCTCCTCTTAGTCGGGAACTGGCTGGTTTAATATTGCCTCATGACCATTTTGGGTCACATTTGGATGAACGTGGCGTTACAATTGATGAACATTTAGAAAGATCTAATTTCGAATTTGCAGGACATGTATTAGCTGAAATATGGAGTTCAATGGAAATTTATGGCTATAATGTTAATTCAAAATATGTTGGGGCAGGTGAACAAGATCTTCCTGATTTTCCGGACATTAAATGGTATTCAGAACATATGCGTGAGAGTCAATACTTGCTTCAAATTGTAAAATGTAGAAATACAGCATGCTGTCGTCCAAGAAGTGGCCTATTTAGATTACTAGACAATAGGTTTCTTCCACCACCTGTAAAGTAAAACAAACAGTTGATGACTTGTTTTGGATGAAGGAGCGCAATTTCTTAATCTTCCAGTCAATTTAGCTCTACGCTTAAGTGCTTCACTCAAAGATTTCCTGCAAATGCCCTACGATTATTTTTGTCCGACGATAAAATTGAGGCTATCAAGTCGAACATGCAAAACGTGTGGTCTTTATTATGCTTCCGTCAAGTCACTAAATCGTCAAATCGAAAATATCCATAAAAAAGTACCTACATTTGTATAAGTACTTAATGAAGCATAATAAGTAAATGATAAAAATTTCAAAATTATTGCACTGCTTTAAAGCCCTTTGACCTTTAATAATGTGTGGATGCACCCTGATGTGCTACGCATTCTCCAACGCGCCTAGGCATGCTTCTGATCAGGTGGTCAATGTCCTCCTGTGGTATCTCATTCTAGGCAACCACCAACTCCTCTCGAAGTGCTTCTAGAGTCTGAGGAGGACGTTGCAAATTGAGCAATCTCCTACCCATCATATCCCACACGTGCTCAATTGGGGATAAGTCGGGAGATCTTGGTGGCCATGGTAACAATGTGACATCATTATGTTGAAAGAAGTCTATTGTGACTCTTGCAACATGTGGTCGAGCATTATCTTGTTGGAAAGTTGGATCTGCCAGGGTGTCACGATAGGGTAAAAGATGGGGTTCTAGAACTTCGTGGATATAACTCTGCGCGTTCATGTTACCTCTGATGAAGATTAACGGTGACCTGGAACCATAAGCTATAGCACCCCAAACCATAACTCCAACAGTGTGATGATGATGTCTTTCAACAAAAAACTGTGAATTCCTCCTTTCACCACGTCGCCTTCTAGCCCTAGCACGACCATCGCGCATGCCTAAACAAAATCGAGACTCGTCACTAAAGACAATACCGTTCCATTCCTGATCCCAGAGTGACCGTTGTCTGCACCACTCAAGGCGATTACGTCGGTGTTCTCGAGTTAAAGGGAGGACCCAGTGTGGCCGGTATGAAAACAAGCCAAACCGGTAAACACTTCGCATGCCAATAGGTCTTCCGTGTTCTGCAAACCATTTATTTGCAATGGACCTGGTAGTGGAGAAACGGTCCCTTAAGGCCAATAATCTTAGGCGGCGATCTTCGCGGTCTGTTGTTCTACGGCGGCGTCCAGTGCCCCTTGCTCTTTGCGTACGGCCTTCTCGAAGCCATGCCTGACAACACCTAACCACAGTGTCTACACTTCTTTACTGCGGCTGAAATATTCATTTTTAGAGCGTTAGTCAATTAAAAAAAAAGCAGTATAAAAACCGGAATGTCCAACTGATAAGGCTGAAAATTTTTTCACTTGTTCTTTACAGTAAGATAAATACATTCACCAACTTTTATTAAAATAAAACCATTTAAACTGGGTGTTCGGGGTTATATGTCACTTAGTATATATCCTAAATCTATTTTCTTATGTTTCAAATTATAATTATAACGTTATAATTATAATATTAAAAAAAACAATACTACATTAATTGACAAATGTTCACGTAAGCATGGGGGGAGGGGGTAAGAGCTTTGCTTACTTTTCCTGACGAGGGGGATGGGGGGCAAATAATTGTAATAAATCTACTTGCGTAATACTTGAACGGCCCCCAAGAATATTTGAAAATATGTAAAATAATTTTATGTGACTTTGATTTAGAATATTTTTTCAGGGACTCTATAGCAAATATCATTAAAACAGTAATCTACTCCGCTCTAATGTTCTTCGAGTTTTTCATCTGTTATTGCTATCCTGCTCAAGATCTGACTGATGAAGTAAGTCCTACTTTATTTATGTATTGGGCTGGAGAGGAGGTTCTGTGTATTTGAAGTAGAAATTTAACTAGAGATCAATACTCAAAAATATCTTCTTTGGCTACAATACCGAGTCTTAATTAAGTATGTACCATAGATTTAAGGATGATTCTTCGAAAACTCCTATTGTAAAGCCTTTTTCCAGTACTCACAATAAACTAAAACTCGTGTTTTATCTTTGTGCTGGTGTACCAAAATATACGAAAGTCTAAGGCAGCGTAATATACAGGATGTTAATTATGTATGTACCATACATTTAACAGACGATTTTTTGTGTACATTTAAGACAAAAAGTTCCTAAATACAGGGTGTCCCAAAAAAAGTGTGCAATATTCTACCAGCGGTCTCTAGAGCTTAAAATAGGAAGAAAAGTTTATATAAACATAGGTCGACAAACGTCCCCTAAGGGCGCTACGGTCTTTTAAAGGGGCTCCCCTGAAGATGGTTTTTCATTAATGTTTCCGAAATGTGTTGAGATAAAGACATAAAATAATTTGGTATTCTAGCCTAGCTTTTTATGCTGGATTTAAAAATATTAACAATTTTAGTCACTTTTGTTTGGAAGCGTATGTAACAGGGACGGGCTCAGGTTATTTTAGCCCCAAAATGTTTGTGTGATTCTATTTTTGAAATCCAATTTGAGGATTTGAAAATTTAGGGGTTTCTACATAAAAAGGTACTCTTATTGAATATCGATAAATTGTGCCATTTTTGAATAAAATCAAACTAAAAAATTTGTCACATGATAGGAAATGTACTGCGAATTTGAATGAATTGTTGAATAATTAGCCATGGCAACGAAAAAACTAATTTAATAATTGGTAAATATTACATAAATACATATTTCTGTTGCAACATAGCTAACGTTTAGGCAAAAACAAAAGAAATAAATTTTTTCTACGAACGAAATTGAAATTTGTTTTAAAAAGAAGACATACAGTTGCATATACTTAAAACTAGCTTTACAATAAGTGTTCAAATAAATTCCCATTTTGTTGGATACAGTGTCTCGCTCGACGAACTAATGATTGCGTAGCCCAAAAAGTGGGAAACCTTTTTCTTCTTATTTCATTTGCAGCCTTATGGATTCTTTAAAGTAAATCTTCTTGAGTATTTACTTCAGTCGAGTAAACTAGGTCTTTTAATGACCCCCAGAAATATAAATCCAATGGATTTAGGTCAGGTGAACGAGGCGGCCACGCTATCGCTATAGGACCTCATCGGCCTAACCACCTGTGTGGAAAATTGACATTTAACCAATTTCGAACATTGCTTCCAAAATGTGCAGGGGCGCCATCATGTTGAAAAAACATATTTTCTTGAAACTGCTGGCGCACATCCAATGGTATTATATCCATGAGCTCATTCTGAAGAAAGTTCAGATACACCTCTGAATTAAGACGATTGGGAAATACAATAGGCCCAATTACTTGATCCCCAATTACTCCTGCGCATAAGTTCAATGAAAATCTATGTTGGAAATTTGTACGGCAAACAACTTTTGGATTTTCATCTGACCAGTGATGTATGTTATGGAAATTAGAAGCACCATTCCTAGTAAATATTGACTCATCCGACCATAATATTCTAGGAATAGTGTTTTCATTTGCTACTCGATTCGTGGTAAAAAATCTGCCTCCGATACATGCTGCACCCGTTTAAAATGATAATGCATTCTTGTCATTCTTCCTATCTAAAATTATTATTTTTAGGATAACTATCAAATATGTATTCATAAATTTTTCTTACTATTGATCAAGGTATATCCATAATTTCCGAAACATTTCGTACGGTTATTTGCGGATTATTTTCAAACATATTTAAAGCAATATCGATACGATGATTTCCCAGTGGCCTTCCTGAGCCCTGCAAGCGCTGAAAACTTCCATAGTTTGACAAATTCCGGTGAATATCAGTAAACATTCGACGTCCAGGTACTATGCGATTGGGAAATCTTCTTTGATATTCTCTTACGGCTGCCAATGAACTGCCATTGCAAAACCCGTACACAAAATGCATGTCAGTCAGTTCTCTGTCTGTAAATCTTGGCATTTTAAATCGATTTAATAAAAATTTTGATTTTAATCTAGTAGTTTTACACTGCTAACAATGTCAGCTTAACGTCAAAATAAGTCATAACAAATCAAAACAACTTTTGTTTGCAGTCATGGCTAACTATGTATAATCAACAGTTCATTTAAATTCGCAGTACATTTCCTATCATGTGACAAATTTTTTAGTTTGATTTTATTCAAAAATGGCACAATTTATCGATATTCAATAAGAGTACCTTTTTTATGTAGAAAACCCTAAATTTTCAAATTCTAAAATTGAATTTTAAAAATCGAATCACTCAAAAATTTTGGGGCTAAAATAACCTGAGTCCGTCCCTGTTACATACGCTTCCAAACAAAACTGACTAAAATTGTTAATATTTTTAAATCCAGCATAAAAAACTAGGCTAGAATACCAAATTTTATGTATTTATCTCAACACGTTTCGGAAATATTAAGGAAAAACCATCTTCAGGGGAGCCCCTTTAAAAGACCGTAGTGCCCTTAGGGGACGTTTGTCGACCTATGTTTATATAAACTTTTCTTCCTATCTTAAGCTCTAAAAACTGCTGGTAGAATATTGCACACTTTTTTCGGGACACCCTGCATATGTCAAAAATTTCAAATACTGGTTTTTTGTAAATTTCTTAAATATCTTTTACCTAATTTTATTGTAATTTGGCGGTGGTATTCATAACATTAAGGAGCTAATTTGATTAAATTAATTAAGAACAGTGGCCTCTCGAGCGGGATCTGAACGAATATTTCTGACCAAGAAAATATACGCCGCTGACTTTTGTGCAATTTTTATTATGTTCTCTGGATTAAGCGAATAGAAATACAACTTTTATGTCTCTTGCTTTGCTTTGTTTGAACAAAAAGGCGACTTAGCTGCATATCTCTGGACTACACAAGGAATATGCGAAACGTTTCTTTTGAAAATTATTTTTTGTATAATTTTGTATTACTAATTACGTAACAACAACAAATATGCACTAAATTACATTACATTAACATCTAAACTAATGAATATTACTTAGGCCCGTATCGTCAGTCGTCCCTACAATTGTAGGGTGCGTTTATGGCCTCCTTGATTGTCATACTCCTTTCTCTCCTTCAAAAATTTCTAGATTACACTTGTCGCGTGTCAGCGTCAGCGCTGTCCTATTGTGAAGATATGTTTTCTTTTTAAATTGTAGGAAATTTCAGGCTGATAAAACATGATATAACTCAAAAGCAAGCCCAATTTGAGGCAAATAGATGTTTGTGACATAACCTCAAAATAGGGTTCTGACACGGAGAAGTAGAAAACTATGACAATCAAGGAGGCCATAAAGACGCCCTACAATGCTAGGGACGACTGACGATACGGGCCTAAATTAAGGAACAATAAATGATAATCAAGGGTTGCCTTGGAAAACGATTGCAGCATTTATTAAACAACTTGATAGTCGTATTTATAAGCTATTTATAATTTCTGGAATGGCTCATGGAAACACTAATGCTGCAAGACGCATTCATAGAAGAACTTTTGTACGTCTCCATGCCCCACTTTCTGAAACAGGCAGTTTTAAAAAATCGGCGGTTGACATCGGGAGGTCTGCCACGGTATGAACTGCCCAAATTGAAGAAGCTGTTTTACATTAAATAGAAGCAAATCCTCATACCAGTACTCGGAAAATAGCTGTAGAACTTTGCTTTGCTTATTTTGGATGACATGGGGGGTAGGGGAGTCTAGATGATGATTACGTCATCGGTAGTTATTAACTTTTTTACACGAATGGCTTTGCTTGAAAACGAAACGCATTTTCGGGAATTCCCGCAAATAATGCATACGCCGCAAATAATGCATACGTTTAGAGAACAGCGCGCGGTAATTCCCCTACTCGCTTTGGAACCGAGTAGGGGAATTACCGCGCGGTGTTCACTTATCTAAATTTCCTCTATCGGTGTATTGTTTCGTTTGGATACTATAGCGAGTAGACGTATTGTAAGCATAGTAAAGCAAGTTAACATTTGTGCTACCATTGATTCCATTAGACAAAGTTTAATGTTTAAATAAGATGTGGTTTCACATAGACAAATCCAAGTTATACCAAAAATTGTTTGAAAGTTTTAAAAAATCTCATACAAGTACGAAAGTACAAAATGTACAAAAGTTAGTTAACGAAGTGTGGCAAAATTACAAATTACAAGCAAAATCCGCCAAGGAACTAGATATTATTGTATCTAAGAGAATCGAAGAAGAATTACAAGCGACGACTAAGAATAAATCTTTTTTTCTAAGGTGAGTGACGAAATCATTTTAGGTACCTAGGAGTACTAGAAATATTAGAAATCGCCAAAAAGTTTCTCTTTACTGATTACAAAGTATTATGGCCTATCTCGAAGTATAGAGGTAATATTCTTTATATTATAGATTTATTTCTTATGATTGATCCCGTCAATTGGTCACAAAGTACAGGATGTTAGTTTTATACATATATACAGAAAACTAACACCCTGTATTTTGTGACCAGAACGAACTGCTCGTTTAAACATATTAGATTTAAAGCCATAAGGTTCTGTATTTACCATATATATTGCCATACTTTGTATTTATGAAGCTTAAAAAGAGAATCTTTAGCACAACCCATAGAAAGTTTTTATTTTTAGACAACCTGTAAACCTGCAGAAAAAACACAAATTATACAGTCAGCTTCAAATATTAAAAACGAGGAAGTAGATAAAATAAAACCCGATAATGAATCACAACAGCAGTGCGAAATTAATGAAAATACAGATAAACAGAAAGCAAAACCTTCTCAGGAAGCTATGAAAAATAAGATTGCTCTACTCGAAAAAAATCTGAATGCTTTGTATTCTGCCAGAGATACTATGCCAAGCCGTGCTGAAGTTGATAAACAGATCATTAAGTTGCGCGAGGAAATAAAAACAGCAAAACAGTCTTTAAAAAGGAAAGTTCAAAACGCAGTTGCCCAGAAGAAACACAGGGATGGTATGAGAAGAAAGTTAGAAGATATTTTTCATGAAAATCCAGAAATAAAAAAAGACTATCTCTGAGTGGGACGTCCTAATCTTGAAAGCAATCAACATTCACTATTGAAAACAATCGCGGATATAGCTTTATTTGGGAGTGCAGTAGATGATAGAAGACGAACGGAATCAATTCGCAGCGTAAAAACTCTTGATGAACTCACACAAGAATTACGTAGATTTGACATTAGTCGCAGTGGGACATATCTTCGTTTGATTCCCAGAAAATCTAATTCTGCAGAGGGACGAAGACATATATCGATAGTGTCTGTTAAGCTCATTCGGGCTCAAACTGATCACCACAAGAGCCACGTAGATAGCAAGTTCGCTGAAACATCAATCCATTATTTAGAGAACATAGCATCCATACTTGGACCAGATCAAGTATTTATCATATCTCAAGATGATAAAGCTCGAGTCCCTATTGGCGTAACTGCGGCAAATAAGCAAGCACCTCTTCTAATGCACATGGAATATAGAATCAAATTGCCTGATCACGATTGGGTAATCGCTGAACGTCATAAATTAACCATCTGTTTATGCTGGTATCAAAATCACTTCCAATATGCTAGGACAACCGCAAGCCGTTGGATATTCTGGACCAACATACATCGCTATTCGAAGTGGAAAGCATAGTTCATCTACTGCTAATACTCATGCTCAGGATTTCGAGACGCTTCTCGAACTTGAAGAGTTTCGACCATTAGCTAAAACTGGCCATGGACTAGTAAAACCAGTGGTAATCATGATGGTTGATGGAGGGCCAGATGAAAATCCACGTTATCAAAAAGTCATAGGGTTTGCTATACAACACTTTAAGCGACATGATCTCGATGCATTGTTTTTAGCTACCAATGCTCCTGGAAGAAGTGCGTATAACAGAGTAGAGCGCAGAATGGCTCCTCTTAGTCGGGAACTGGCTGGTTTAATATTGCCTCATGACCATTTTGGATCTCATTTGGATGAACGTGGCGTTACAATTGATGAACATTTAGAAAGATCTAATTTCGAATTTGCAGAAAATGTATTAGCTGAAGTATGGAATTCAATGGAAATTGATGGCTACAATGTTAATGCAAAATATGTTGGGGCAGGTAAACAAGATCTTTCTGATTTTCCAGACATTAAATGGTATTCAGAACATGTGCGTGAGAGCCAATACTTTCTTCAAATTGTAAAATGTAGAAATACAAAATGCTGTGGTCCAAGAAGTGGCCTATTTAGATTACTAGACAATAGGTTTCTTCCACCACCTGTAAAAGTAAAACAAACAGTTGATGACTTGGTTTTGGATGAAGGAGGGCAATTTCTTAATCTTACAGTCAATTTAGCTCTACGCTTAAGTGCTTCTTTCAAAGATTTCCTGCAAATGCCCTACGATTATTTTTGTCCGGCGGTAAAATTGAGGCTATCAAGTCGAACATGCAAAACGTTTGGTCTTTATCATGCTTCCGTCAAGTCACTAAATCGTCACATCGAAAATATCCATAAAAAAGTAAACACGCACACTGATAGGAAACTTAGACCTGTAAGAGTCGCTGCTAGTCGTGCTAGTGAACTGATGTGCATTATTCAAAATTTAGAGCACCATGATGTTGAATGGCTCGATGAGAACGACGTAGACATTCCAAAATCCGATGAAAGCGAGCAAACTCACAACACTGAGCGGCAATCGAAGCAATCCAATGTCATCGAAAACTTAGAATCATGGATTCGGGTTTCATGGACTGAAGACTGTTAATTTGAATTTAATATATGTACCAAAAATTTAGAATAAGTTTATTTTGTTATTAAGATATAATATTTTTGTCCTTTACTCTATGTTGCATACCGTATCAGCAAAATATAATCTCTATCCTAAATCTATTTTGTTATTTTTCAAATTATAATTATAACGTTATGATTATAGTATTAAAAAAAAAATACATTAATTGACAAATGTTTACGTAAGCATGGGGGGAGGGGGTAAGAGCTTTGCTTACTTTTGATGACAAGGGGGATGGGGGGGTAAATAACTGTAGTAAATCTGCTTACGTAATACTTGAACGGCCCCCATGCAATATTAATTTTCAAGAACAGTCTTCTTTTAATATATGGCTTGGAATTGTCGGTGACCATCTCATTGGGTTCCAGTTTCCTCTACCTGGGCTTAATGGGGAAGAATATCGAAGGTTTCTAGAATTTGTTTTACCTGGAGTTTTAGAAGAAGTTCCAGTCATGGAAAGATTCCGTATGTGGTACTCGCGCGACGGGGCTCCATCATTCTTCAATGCAATGGCGCGGTAACTTTTGGATAAAAATTACCATAATCGCTGAATTGTGAGAGCATGCCCACACCTATGGCCCCCTCGCTCGCCCGATCTAAATCCCTCAGATTACTTTCTCTCGGGACACCTTAAGGCGTTGGTATACAAAACTCCTATTCAAAGCGAAGAGGACTTACGAAATAGAATCATTAATTCATGTGATATAATAAAAAAATACAACCAGGTATTTTCAAGAAAGTGCGTAATTCAATGAAGGGGGCACATTTCCAACACTTAATTTAGTGAAATTTGTCAGTCTAGATGTTAATTTTATCAAATATTTGTTGTTGTTACAAAATAAGTAATAAAAAATAATTTTTCTTATATGTACAGGGTGTTTCAGTTTATTGTTGCATAACTTTAAGATTCGATAGAACTTTTAAAATTAATGCATAAAGTTTATATAAACATGGATCGAAAAATGCGTGGTTTCCGAAATACAGGGTGTTTAAATTTACTTTCTGAAATAGTTTTTTTTAAATATTTCGAACAATATTTGATGTATAACAGTGACAATTGGTATACAAGGGTTTTTTGGTACGACAAAACGAACCATGGGCATAGTTTTACTGTACCTGTAGTGTATTAAAATAACAGAAAACTTTTTCTTAGTGCAATTTTCTACTTTTTAAATAAAAAAAATGATTCTTCGCACTTTTCTGCATAAAAAAGCTCTCATGTGAGTTTTCGTTATAGTTAGCCGTTTTTGAGATATTTCGATTTTTAAGGTTCGATGCATTTTTAATTATTTATGGGAAAATAATATTTTTTTACATTTTCGATTTGGGCATTACAAGTAATTAAGATAATCGTTTAGATTGTGTTTTTAAACACAGCAATAATTCCTAACTCCAAATAAACACAAAAAAACAGAATATTAATTTGTTTAATTTTCCAATATTATTTTTAACAAATTAAATTAATTATTTACAACTAAAATGCTATTGGATAGTTGGGACAAACATACAAAATCTAAAGTAGTTGCTCGAAATGTAAACTCAATTGTTCAATACGCAATTCACATCTACGAATGATCGAACGTGGTATAGCATCATTCAAATAAGGCCTTATTCCATCACATGCATTCCTGATTCTGTCTATTAGCATATCTCTTGTGGTTACGGGAGTCTGGTACACTTTTTCTTTTAGAAATCCCCACACAAAGAAATCTAATGAATTTAGGTCAAGGGATCGCGGAGGCCAGGCGACTGGACCTCCACGGCCGATCCATCTTTCTGGATAATTTTCATCCAGCCAGTTTCTAACTATTCTCGAATAATGAGCTGGACAACCATCAAGCTGGAACCAGGCCAATCTTCTTAAATCTAACATAACATCATCCCACATATTTGCATGTTCAGCCTTTAAAAATTCCAAGAAGGTCGGAACATTTAACCTTGCAGGCAAAAGGTAGGGTCCAAATAGTCGATTACGATAGATACCAATCCACACGTTCACACTAAATTCATGCTGAAAATTTCTTTCCCGAACTGCATGCGCATTTTCATCCGACCAAATATGTTGATTATGAAAATTTACCACTCCACGTCTAGTGAAGCATGGCTCATCGGTCCATAAAACGTTACTTAAAAACTCCCTATTATTATCAGTTCTATCAAGAATCCACTGACAAAATGTAATTCTTTGTTCTCCGTCCCCTGGCTGTAGTCCTTGCACAGGTTGCAAATGGTAAGGACGTCTATGGTCATTTCAAAGAACACGGTGAACATGGCTTGTTGAAATTCTCAAGGCACCAGAAACTCTCCTAACACTTATGGCCGGATCTCTATGAAACTCACGCAGAATCATACGGGTAAATCTGCGCTGACAAACATTTATGTTTTGATCCCTTTGGAGATTTCCAAAACCATTTTCAATTATTTGGCGATGCACTCTTACAAATACTGAGCGAGTTGGATGTCGTCTGTTTGGAAATCTTCGTGCGTATTCTCTGGCTGCTTCTGCTACGTTTCCATTTACAAAGCCATACACAAAATGAATATCCGCTAACTCTTGATTGGAGAATAAAAATGGCATTTTTATACTTACAAAAAAAACAGGTAAAAGAAACTAAATTTCGTGCATTCACAATTGCAAAAAAACGTTTCAGGTTTCAACAGACAACAAAACTAACTGTCAACTAATTGACGTTTAACCTTATTCTGCTTTCAATTTCAAAAATATTTGCAGGCACAGCCTACTTCTAAAAATTATCGAGATACTGACTTTTTAACGTTATTTTATCATAAATAATTAAAAATGCATAGAACCTTAAAAATCTAAATATCTCAAAAACGGCTAATTATAACGAAAATTCACAAGAGAGCTTTTTTATGTTGAAAAGTGCGAAGAATCAATTTTTTTATTCAAAAAGCAAAAAATTGCACTAAGAAAAAATGTTCGGTCATTTTAATACACTAGCGGCTACAGTAAAACTATGCCGATGGTTCGTTTTGTCGGACCAAAAAACCCTTGTATACCAATTTTCACTGTTATATATCAAATATTGTTCGAAATATTTAAAAAAAACTATTTTAAAAAGTAAATTTAAACACCCTGTATTTCGGAAGCCACGCATTTTTCGACCCATGTTTATATAGACTTTGTGCATTAATTTTAAAAGTTCTATCGAATCTTAAACTTATGCAACAATAAACTGAAACACCCTGTATACAGGGTGTTAATAAAGTATGTAGACAAATTTTAACCATCGAATCCTTGATCAATTTGAAGACAAAATTTCCATATGGACATGGGTCCTCCACGGTTTTGTTTTCAAGTTAGAGCATATTAGCACTAAAATAAATGATGATTTTGTTTTAAAAAATTATAAAAGAATGGAACGTACTTTATTTTAATTAAGTTAATTCAGACCCTCCATGTACGTAGATACGGATAATGTTATCCAGTATTTTTTGCAAATATAGGATGACATTGATTTGTTTTGATCGCAATACTTTTAATATTTAAGTATTGTGCTTACCTAGACGCCTATGACGTACCCGAAAAGAATTGAATTAATTTATTTTCTCAAATAATTCGTGGCCACTTTGAACATTTATTGTAAAAAAACTATTCGATATTTTCTATTGTTGTCGTTCTATTCGAATGTTACTGTTCAAAACTATTGACCTTCTAAATAAATTTTTTTCCCAAAAATGCGGGATAATACTATTTTCATCCACGTTCATATTGAGCCTCAGCAAATTGCAAAATTTTTCATGGGTTACACCAACTGTTCTATAAATACGTTTCATTATTCATATAAATATTTGTAACATTACTCGTATTTCTTTAGTGATAGTACCCAACCTTGAAAAGAAAGCAGTTACGGACCCATGATCGTATGTCTTCAAATCAAATTGACCAAGTATTCGATGGTTAAAGTTTGTCTACATACTTCATTAAAACCATGTATATTCCAAATTTCATTCAAATTGGACTTTCGTTTCTAAAATAACTTAGAGAGATGTGTGTTAAAAAGAAAACTTTGACGCCCCTTAATGGACAAACGAAGCACTTTTGCATAGAGGTGAATCATGTCCAATCGACTTGAGTCTGAAATACATGGTACTTCTGTCCACGTAATATTGATACACCCTGTATAGTAAATGATTGTATGTCTATGAATCTTTAAACCCGAAAAAAGAATCGTAATGGATCACATAGTTTAGACCCAATTTTTATCTTTTAACCAATTTTTGTCCCGCGCCAAACTGGCGCATATTGATATTCTTGTTATATACAGTGTCCTGAAACACAATAGTAAAAGCAGAAACTTCACTAAACATCCACCCTTTTTAACCTAATCTCCCAGGAGTGATTGAGTCGCTACATTAAAATGTAATTTGTTGCATTTTCAGGCAGATAAGCTTTCGGAAAGTATTTATTCTAGTCGTTGGTACGACTATCCGATTTATCAGAAAGATGTATTGATGCTGACTGGCAAAACTCAGATACAAGTTATATTTACAGTTGGAGGCATTTTGAAGCTAGACTTGCCAACCGGGATGGCTGTAAGTTTATGTTTAGTTCCCTAGAATTATAATGTGGATTGACTAAATGTTTATGTTTGCAGGCAATCAAAACAATGTTTTCGTATAGTATGTTCCTGAGGACGATGACCATGATTAACTAAAATGGTAACAGGAGTACCTCTTTCTCTGGCTCTCTACTATTCCCAAGATATAATTTATTGTAAATCATTATAATATACTCTGTATTATTAAATTTGATAAATAACATTGTACACTTTCTGATAAACCTTGACCATGGGAAATAATATTAGTAACTTTAAGAGGTGATTCCTTGCATTATTCTAAGCAAAAAAGTTCATTATAACTTGTGTCCGAAAATCAATCGATGTCGAGGAAAGTGAGTCGTAAATAATTAAATTTTCTCAAACATTTGGCAACGCTGCAACGCAACCGCGATACGAGCGCACGACGACCGCAACTGATTCATCGAATTGTTTACGTTTGTATGATATTTTTGTTGAACATATGCCTTGAATTATTGAATACTTTTACGCAATTTTTTGTGGCTAATATTTTTTATTTAATAACGCTTTCAGTACGGTACATTTACTTAAAAAAATGACAGAATTTACCGGTACGTGGTGATACACACCACCAATTCCCACGATTATCAGTCACACTAAAGTTACTGTTGAATGTATTAGTAATCATAATAGATGTTCAAAATGAAAACCATGGGCATCTACGCAAGCTTGACACCGTCGAACCCAATTTTCTCTAACTCTCTAAATTCCACGCATATTACGTATTTCATTAGCGGCGGCCAAAATACGCTCCCTTTAATCATTCTTATCCCTTATTTCAGAGGCGTAAACTAATTTTTTTATGAATCCCTAGAAGAAAAAATCTAATAGATTGAGATCGGGGGATCTAGCCGGCCAGGCATTTGGACCATTTCTTCCTATCCACGTATTCCCATAGGTATTATTGAGATGTTCCACTACTCGACTAGCGTGTGCTGGAGCACCATCGTGCAAGTACCACATATTCACTCTTGTTTGCAATGGCATTTCTTTCAACAAAAAAAAAAATTGATACTGCGAATTTTTCTGTGCAATTGCATGGGGATTTTCGTCTGCCCAATTACGAAAATTCCAAATTCCATTCCTTGTAAAAGAAGACTCATCTGTTGACAACACGTTCGCTACAAAATTGTAATTTCTTTGGTGCTTACCCAAAAACCAATTACCAAAATTTGATCGGCCTGGAAAATCTTCAGACGAAAGAACTTGATCCCTCTGGACATGATATGGGTGCAATAACTGTTCTTTAAGAGTCCGATGTATGTACAATCCAGTGTGAGACACCGATTTGACGAGCAATACTTCTCGTACTCCGTGTGGAATCCTCGTCAATTACATTCAAAATTTGTTGTTCGGTTTTCACTCCAACTTCGCGATGTCTTCCGTGATTGTTAAAATTTGGCACTACGCTCCTACTCTTTGGGATACTTCTACGAATGTTCTTCTAGCTGGTAGCCTTCGATCAGGAAAACGTTCTTCGTAAATGCGCCTAGCCTCTTCAGAATTGCAATGAGCTTCTCCGTAAATATTAAGCATATCGTGATACTCGCGTACCGAAAACATCTCTTGTGATTTCAATTCGGGTAAACATTACTTACATTAACGTATGCAAGAGACTATCAAATAATTTTTTCCTGATGTAGGTATTTATTTTTTTGCCTACCGACACGATTTCGGTCGTGGGCAACACGCGATGATACATGAAGAGCAGGCGGAGTACAACGTTGCCAGTTGTGTGAGGGATTTAGTTTGTCTGTTTTTCTTCGGAAAATTGTATTTAATAAGCAAGAAAATTATTTTATTAGAGGCAGTTAATAAATAGATGTGTTGACACATTATACGCTATTAGACATATTAATTTAAATCATTGAGATGCAAAATTAATTTATTTTATGACTAAAAAGAAATCAGTTCAGCATTTTTTGCTCCGAAACGGTTGATTTTCGGACATAGGTTATAATGAACTTATTTGCTTAGAATAATGCAAGGAAACACCTCTTAAAGTTACGAATATTATTCTCCCAACACCCTGTATACAAGATGTTGTTAACGATAAGGTAATATCGCAGTAAGTATCCACGTTATTTCATGAAAAAAGTTGATACCTACATGTACCTGTGGGGAATAATTTATTCAAAAGAGGTGTTATACAGGGTGACAGCAAAGTTGGGGTTTTCCTTTACACGACGTGTAGATGTTGAGAAAATAAGAGGATTTTCTTAGTAGCATATACATCAATGTCTTAAGAGAACCGAGATATTGGGCTCCGTAAACTCAACCAAACCTAAAGCAAACCGAAGGCGGTCCTGTCCTGTCCCTAGCGTACAGTTGTACGACGTAAATACGGATTCTACGACAGAGCCGTACTTGGAATTTCAATTCAACTGAACAGTGACTACCTTTTCATTTATTTTTTTTTTACTTGTTAGCTCACGTTTCACCACACATTAGCTTTGTTATACCAAGCGTCATTATGTCTGAAAAGGAAAACCCCAACTTTGCGAGCACTCTGTATTAGTAATGATTTTACGGGACTAACAACAAAAAATCTTTCATGGAGATATGCCGTCACAAAGCACGTTTCCTTATACCTCAAAGTTGGAACTTTACATCTTGGAAAAATGAGCAGTTTTTAACACTCTCTTATTAGCTTGGCCTGTACAGGGTTTGTCCGGAAAGTAATAGGACTGAGTCGATTTAAAAAAATTTATTGAGCCAATCGTTACAATTCTTTAAAAACTTTCAAAATAGGCTCCTTCTGCGTGGATGCAGCGCTGCCAGCGCGATTTCCAAGCATTGAAGGCGTCACGGAAGGCATTCTCCGGAATAGCCTTGAGAGCCGCGGTGCATGCTGCTTGGAGCCCCTCTGTCGTCTCAAAATACTTGCTTTTCATCGGCCTTCAAAACAAAACAAGATTTGGAATTCGACTGCTGTCTATATCTGGTGAAAAATTATCAGTACAACCACAATTAGTGCAACCATTCAAAGAAAAATTGATGAAAACAATTACCGAGCTAGATTTAAGAATGGAACAAATTTACAATGCAGATGAAAGGCCTTTAATGGAAAATGTTACAAGAGAAAATCTATGCTGCATCATTTGAAAAATCTGCTCCGGGAAGAAAGCCGGAGAAATAACGAATAACGTTTCTAGCATGCACTAATGCTAATGGTTCACACAAAATAAAGCCACTGGTAATTGGGAAAGCAAAAACTCCGCGCTCATTTAAAAATGTTAATATCCCTGTTGATTATGACTGTTCAAAAACCGCTTGGTTGACTAGCAGTATATTCCTGAAATGGTTCCACAAGTGCTTTGTCCCTCAGGTATGACAATCAATTATCACAAATGCTCTATTCATAATTTGAAGATGTGTTTTCAATTTGTAGGTAAAAGGTTTCCTAAAACAACAGAAGCTTCCAATAAAAGCGTTGTTACTATTGGATAATGCACCAAGTCATCCTCCCGAGCAACAACTGAGGGGGAGGGATGGGTCAATTTTCGTCATGTACATGCCGCCCAACGTAACACCGTTAATTCAACCGATGGACCAGAATATAATAGGACTCACCAAACTATACTATAGGAAGTTTCTAGTTTCGTCTGTCTTATCAAAGAATCCTGAAAACTTATCTGAGGCTTTAAAAAAAGTAACATTACGAGAAGCTGTTTTAGATTTTTCATATGGCCTGGAATGAACTTAACCAGCAAACTATTCAAAAATGTTGGAACAATCTCTTTTGTACCAATAATGAAGATGATGAAGAAGACGATGTTCCCTTGAGCGTAATTAGAGAACGTTTGCGATCCAATAATGATAATGTTATTAGTGTGTCATTGGATGTTGTTGATTTATTGAAAACAGTGAATCCCAACATTGTTTGTACTCCTGCTGATATTAATTTATGGAACGAAGATAAGCAGACGGATGATGCTGATAAGGAAGAGGATATGGACAGTTAGGATGATGAGAACGTTCCCATTGAAGTCAGAAGTGTAGTGACTGACGCGCAAGCTATACAAGTTTTTAACCAAGCTTTAGATTGGGCTGAATGAAAAGAAGTTTCATACACGGATATTTTAATTCTTCGTAAATTACGGGCGCAGGCATTGGAAAACAATGCTAAGCGCAAATATACGCAGGCAAAAATTGTTAAATATTTTTCTTCTAATTAAAAAAATACTTATCGCTGTTAGAATATTTGTTTATTTTGTTATAAATAGTATGTATTAAACGTTTCTTTTAATAAATCAAATATTATATAAATCACGTTCGCTAATGTAAACATTTCGATAATGTGAACCACACTTGGATTAAATTAGTTTACATTATCGAGCGTCTGCTGTATTTGTTTTTAGAAGGATCTTAACTAAAATATGTGACATCATTTATTACAATCGCATACTAAAATTGAAAATGATATTTAAATTACTTTCAGAGATTCTGGAAAATTAGAAATAACCTAATCTTCAACATCGTGTGACAAAAAATGTTAAGTAGGTTAATTCGGTTCTTCCCAGACATTCGTATACGTATATTTCAGAATTTACCAAATATACTAATTGGAACACTGGTTCTCTTTGTCTGATTACTGATATACAAATATGTAACATAAAAAAATGAGTGAAGACTAAATACCAGTGCTCCGCGGCAGCTATGAGGATCCCAAAGAAATTTTGTTGTTTCGGTTTTTGAACTGCCTAAGATTAGTAGAATAGGGAAAAGCTTCCTCTTGTAGATTGTTCCATAATCTCGACTTCTTAGCCCTGAACAAAAAGCCTAGCTTTTTCCCGGCAGTTGTCGCTATTGACGAGATATGTTCGTGCCAAATCTGCACGACCACCGGAAACGAACGGTTCTTTGGCAGAACTTGACCATCCATCGAAATCTTTTTGTCCGTCAAGGTACAGTACTGTGTTTGGGAAGCCTTAAGCTGAACAAGATTGTTGTGTCCCCAAACAGTGATAGCTTCTAGGTCTCTCGGCAGAGAGGAAGTCGCCGCTAGTCTTCTTTTTGCTGCTCAGCGAAGCTGTGGATTGGGTTGATCGTGCAGGAAAGGTCACCATTGATATGTA